GGGGTTGTGGGACCCCAGGGTGGGCTCAGAACCCTCAGGGAGAGGGTTTGGAATTCCAGAGGGGGTTTGGAACGCTGGGAGGGGCTTTGTGTGACCCCTTTGGTGGTGGGAGGGGGGTCGGGGGGTTGGAATTGGGGCAGTTTTGGGGATGGGAGGCCTGGAATTGCCGTTCCCAACGGGATTTGGTCCCCCCCAGGCTGCTCGTTCCGGAGGAAGCAGCACTGAGGATCCCGGGATGCCGACGGAGATGGGAATTCCGCCCGGTCCCTGCAGCCCCTCCCGCCTCCCACCAATAAATTTTGGATAAAACACCCAAAAACGGGCCCGTGCTGGTTCTTGGCTCTGCAGGGGTGATGGGATTTGGGAATAGGGGGGCTGGGGAAGGAATTCCAGCCCTGGCTGGGGTGGGTTATCCAGGGATTTTGTGACTGGACATCCCTGGAAGTGTCCGAGGCCGGGTGGGAGCTGCCCTGGGGATGATCCATCAGGTCCCCCCTTTCCCAAATTGTTCTGTGATTCCTGAGGAATCTTCCCCATTCCATGATTCCTGAGGAACCTTTCCCTTCCCAAACCATCCCACGATTCCCGAGGAATCCCAGCGCAGGCGGTGGGACAAAACCCTCGGACTCCGGAACGGGAATTCCAGGTGGAAAAGCCCTTCCCGGGCCCGGTTTATTGGGAATAACCGGGAATATCCACATCCCCCCACACCGCTCCAAGCCTGGCCCCATCCACCTTTTTCCTCCCGAAAAGGGAATAAACCGGGATTTTTCCCAGATTCTGACTCCGGGGCTGGGCGTTCATCCCCCTTTTCCTTGGGAGCCTCATCCCGGATTTTTGGGCTCCTGGAAGGGTGGACCTTCCACCCTCTTTTTCCCCTCCCCCCCCGCGTGTTTTTTGGGGCGCCGGCAGCGAAACCGAAATCGGGGCTTTCGGTTCCTCCTTCCCGCATTTCCTGGCTCGTGATTTTTCTCCCGTGGTGCCTCTGCCGGACATTCCCGGCCGATCCCGCCGATCCCGGAGCCTCATCCCCCTTTCCCGGGAGGGGCTGGAATTCGGAGTCCCCTCCCCTCCTTCCCCCCACCAACCCCCCGGCACAGCTTTTTGAGGTAATTTGAGAGGGTTTTGGGGTGTTTTCACCTCCCCCCTCCCGGAGCGCTTTGAGGAAGTCAAAAAAAACTCCGGGAAAAGCGGCTTTGGATCCGTCCTATCCCGACTCTCCCACCTGGACGGTGGGAGAAAAACTGGGAATTCGCGGGGGGGGGGGTTATATTTTTTATTTTAGGGACAGGTTTGTCCCGGGAGGGTCCCCCGCGGGGCGGGGCGGCTCCCACAAAGGGGTTGGCTCCGGGATTGTCCCCTCCAGGGGATCCAGGGAATTTCGGGATGCGTGTCCGGGCGGGTCGGGATGTTGGCACCTCCCTTGTCCAGACGGGATCGGTCACCCAGGGGTCATTCCCTGCTCCGGGATCGGTCACCCAGGGGTCATTCCCGGCTCCCGGGTCATTCCCTGCTCCCGGATCCATCACCCAGGGGTCATTCCCTGCTCCCAGCCCTCTCATCCCGCTCCTCATCCCGGGATGGAGCCCTTGGCTCCCGTCGCCTTCCTGGCCCTGCTGGGGGTGGCTCTGGGACATCCCGACCCCGCCCTGGATCGGCACTGGGAGCTCTGGAAAAAAACTTACGGCAAGGAATATCGGCACCAGGTGGGGAGAAACGGCCCGGGAATGACGGCTGGGGGTGTCCTGGGAATGTTCGGGGGGGTCCAGGGGGGTCCTGGGAATGTTCTGGGGGGGTCCGGGGTTGTCCCAGGGGTGTCCTGGGAATGTCCCAGGGGTGTTCTGGGCCCGTCTTGGGGGTGTCCCGAGGTTTCCCAGGGGTCCAGGGGTACCCTGGAAGTGTCCCAGGGCTGTTCCAGGTGTATCCCAGGTTTTCCAAGGGGTGTCCCCCCCACCCAGGGAAGATCCAGGTGCTCCCCAGGGATGATCCCACTGGGATTCCCTTTACTGGGCCGGCTCCATGCAGGATGGGGGGTTTGGGGGGGGGGCTGTCCCAGGGCCTCAGGAAGCCCCTCTGGAATTCCAGGAGGAGGATTCGCTCCGTCGGGCGACCTGGGAGAAGAACCTGCGGCTGGTGACGCTCCACAACCTGGAGCATTCCCTGGGAATCCACTCCTACACCCTGGGAATGAACCACCTGGGGGACATGGTGGGTGCAGGGGCTGCCTCCGGAATTCCCAGGGAGGGGGAGGGTTTCCTGGGATACCAGGAAAGAACTCCTTGAGGTGGGATTCCAGGGATTTGGGGGGGGGGGGGGGCTGGATTGGAGCCCCATTTTCCCCAGGGAAATCACCCCTAAAAACCCAAGGATTTCAGGATTCCCCGGCTCTCCCAGCTCGGGATTCCCAATCCCCCAATCGGGAGGGATTCCTGGAGGGTGGGAATCACCAGCTGGAATTTTTTTTTCCCAGACCAGTGAGGAGGTGGCGGCCTCGCTGACGGGGCTGAGGGTGGCCCCTCATCCCAGGGGGGTCTCGGCATTCCCACCCCGGCCCCTCGGGGACGTCCCGGAGGAGATGGATTGGCGGGAGAAGGGATGTGTCACCGAGGTCAAGAACCAGGTGAGCCCCTCCTGGGGAGCCTCCTGGAGTTCCCAGATCCTGAACCTTCTCCTGGAGTTCCCAGATCCTGAACCTTCTCCTGGAGTTCCCAGATCCTGAACCTTGTCCTGGAGTTCCCAGATCCTGAACCTTCTCCTGGAGTTCCCAGATCCTGAACCTTCTCCTGGAGTTCCCAGATCCTGAATCTTCTACAGGAATTCCCAGATCCTGATCCTTCTCCAGGAATTCCCAGATCCTGAACCTTCTCCAGATCCTGAACCTTCTCCATTCCCAGATCCTGAATCTTCTCCAGATTACACCAGATCCTGAACCTTCTCCCAGACCCCAAACCTTCTCCCTGATCCCGATCCCTCCCCAGAAATCCCCCGGGATCACCCCCTGACCCCTCCCCGTGCCTCCCCCAGGGCGCCTGCGGCTCCTGCTGGGCCTTCAGCGCGGTGGGAGCGCTGGAAGCGCAGGTGAAGCTGAAAACCGGGAATTTGGTGTCCCTGAGCGCCCAGAACCTGGTGGATTGCTCCGGGATGTACGGGAACAAGGGCTGCTCGGGGGGCTTCATGACCGAGGCCTTCCAGTACATCATCGACAACCACGGCATCGAGTCCGAGCAGTCCTACCCCTACACGGCCCAGGTGGGAAGGGCGGCATTCCCGGGAATCCCCCCCCCCTGCCTGTGGGCCCTGCTTCCCTTTGGCTCCAAAGCCTTCCAAAGGGGAAGTTTGGGAGTGTTTGGAGCGGGAGCTGGAATTCCCTGCCGGGCTGTTGCGCCATTTCTTGGGCGAGGAGCCGGAGGGGAGGGGAAGAAGTGGGTCAGGAGGCTCCGGAAAACACAATCCAGGGAATGTGGGTCAGAGCAGAGACTCGGCCCAAGGGAAATGTGGGGTTTGACTCCCCCCAGGTGTGGAGAGGTTGGGGGGAAAAGCTGCTGTTCCCGCTGTCCAGAGGGAATGGGAAGAGGCTGTGGATGGGGAGGGTGAGGACGGAGCTCCAGGGAAGGGGTTGGATGAGGATGGAGTTCCAGGGAATGGGTTGGATAAAGGTGGAGCTCCAGGGAATGGTTTGGATAAGGATGAAGCTCCAGGGAAGGAGAGGATAAGAATGAACTCCAGGGAATGGTTTGGATGAGGATGGAGCTCCAGGGAATGGTTTGGATAAGGAAGGAGCTCCAGGGAATGGTTTGGATAAGGA